TAAATTTAATATTTAATATTTAAATTAAAGATACTAACCTCTTATTTTTCAGAAAATCAAAGATGACCAACTGACACGAAATAAAGAAATGTCATGAAAGCAAGACGGGTGACTTTTTATCCTACAATGAAAGAAATATTTTTCTTTAGTGAATGTCTTTAGAAGCTTTCCCACATAAAATACTCAATTCTCATATACTAATTTTTAAATTCATAAAAAAAACTTTATGTGGCTTCTTACTATGGTGCTGCAATTTAATATTCCAATTAACTTTCTCCATGTAACTTTCTATTTACCCTTTTCTTTTTGTAACATCTCCTCGTTAAGTTTCAAGTCTCAAATTTTCCCGTCTCCGACATCTTAAGTTTTAGATAAACCTCTATTTCTCTCTCTAAAATCCAGATAGACAAATCATCTAATATACTCGGTAAATCTTCCTTTTTAATCGCCAGAATCACAAGAATTTTCAAACCAATTTTTTCAACCATATTAGTTTTCTAAAAACTAAGTAGGCTCATAGTTATTTATACAAATATATATATTTATTTAAGCGTCACTTTGTATCTCTTTTACTTTTTCATTCAATTTTACTTTTAAACTTTTGTTCTCGACTTTTTTGATATAGAACATGTATTATATGAAACACAATTTGAAATGATATTTATGTTTTCTCTTGCCTAAATCGTGCATCGTACGGGATGAACACTAGTACCATAGTATATAAAACTATTGCAATGATAATCTTGAACCATGTTATTTTTTATTCATAAAACTTGGTCACTTTTAAAACATTAGCAAATAAAATCATTACTTTAATAGACACATCATATCCTTTTCTTTTTTCATTTACTCAAAAAAAAAAAAAATAGATACAGCACATCCTTAGATGGGACCCATTGGCTTAATGGTATGCATCCAGAATGATGTTGTTCGTTTTTAATATGTAATAAATTAAAAACATTGTGTGGAATTAGTTCATTAAAAGGACAGTTGCACCTCCTCACAAGCATTGGAATTGCTCATCTTTGAAATATAATAATATAGTAAGTTAAAATCGATGGTCCTAAATCCATTTTAATTGAATCTTTAAAAATAAATTAGGATTATGGAAAATTTTAGTCACACCCCCCTAATTTTTGAATCTTCACTAATACCTCTTCTAGTTTATATTTAAATATCATTAACACCCTCTATCATTAAACCATTATTTCTAATAAAAAAATTATCTAAAATATTAAAATTACCCTTACATAAATCCCAAACAATATTTTTATAAAAATTTGAGGCGATTAAAATTCGATTCAAGCTGATTAAATTTTATTTTTTTACGTATTAAAATTCGAGCCTATTAAAATTATTTTTTTTACGTATTAAAATTTAAGTTGATTTGAGCTCAACATAAGCTATTAGGGCTTATTAAAATTCAATTCGAGTTGATTCAAATTTATATTTTTTTACTAATTAAAATCTGTGTCAATTGTTTGAAGTTAATTAAAATTTATTTTTTACATACTAAAATTAGTGGATTAAAATTTATATGTTTTACGATTCAAAATTCGGGTAGATTAAAATTGAATTTGAATTGATTAAAATTTGATTCGAACTGATTAAAAACGAATTTTATTCGACTCGAATCGAATTTTAGTGGGCCTGAATTTTAAAATGTAAAAAAAAATATAAAATAGATGGGGTCTGAAGATTTTTTTATTTAGAGTAGAGGCGGATGAAGTTTTTTTTTAAAATATATCATGAATAATTTAGTAAAATTATATTCTAGTTAAGGTTTTTAATTTGATACAGATGTCAGTGAAGAGAAACTAAAAAGGGTATTTTAAAGATATAATAAATTAAAAGAGGTGTAAATTTTTCCTAGAATTATTTATTTGGAAACACTAGTCCGCGACATTAGTGGGTATACTTAGGGCCGGCCTTGGGTGGTTGTCAAAGGTATAGCTAGCCATTTGACAGCTTGCCTTGAGCTTAGATCTTGACTTTCTCTTCCTAAGGAAGAAAATTTGATCCCTCATCACCATGTGGGATTGTAGAAAAGTCCTTTAATGACCAAAATAAGTACCAGCAAGTCAATGCTTGAGTAGATGTGTTTTTCTTCCCCATCACATTCACTTATTTATTAGACAAAGAATTTTATATCCAATAGTTGTCACAAAATGGAGTGAATATTGGGTGGAAAGGTTATAGCATATTAACGGTGCTAACATTGTATAACGGTTACCATTAATATTTTTTCCACAAAATAAGGGTATGATGATGTCTTAGAATTGTCATATAAATAACATGTTTTCTTCGATCTCTTCCAACCCTACTTGACTAATGCGAGGACAACTACAAATTTAGTTACTCCAACTTTTATGTAATAAAAAATAACGGGTACCAAACATAGAAATAGAGAATCACTTTATACTTCATTTGGTAATTGATACGATGAAAAAATAGAAGGATGAAAAATTAGAGAGAAATAAAATATTATGTTTGACAAGGAAGAAAAATAGAAAGGATAAAAAAGTGGATGAATGAGTTTTCTTTTCAACTCACTAAAATTAATCCCTCTAAAATTGGGCAAAAAAAAAGAAGGAAAATGGTACTTATGTTGGATAAAAATATGTTATTTACTTTTTTAATCTTTAACTAATTAGTTATTTACATTAAACACATAAACCCAAATTCATATACCAATTGGTAGAATTAAAACACCTAAACTCAAACTCATATACCAATCGGTGGAATTACATTATGTGTTAACACAGTGTGTGTGTGTACATTAGTGTGTCCATTTTTTTTATTTTTTAATTAAAAATCAAATAAAAATAATTTTTTTTTATGTGATTTGTGTTTGTTTTAACACATTACGTGTATACTATAGTGGCATGGTGTATAATATGTACGCTAATCTCATATACGGATAAAATAATAAATTAAGTATGTATATTATTTTTATCCTTATATTTTTTTATCCATGTCAAACACAAAAAAAATTAATTATTTATATTTTTCATCTATCCTACCAAACACAAAAGAAATAAAGTATATCATTCATACTTTTCTTCTTTGGAGGATAGAAAATGTATCATTTTTACTTTTCATCCTTCATATTTTGTGTCATTCCTACCAATTGAAGTATTAATTATCTGGCTGAGAGTATATATTATGGAGTTAAGTACGGTAACAATTTTTTTTTCAATATCATACCTCAATTTATTATATTTATGGTTATTTTTACCATATTTATGGATACTTTTATTATCGGTGTGTTATAAAAAAATAGTAAAACTAATTATCACAATAGTGATAAAAACATCCACAAAATTGATAAAAACATCCATAAATATAGTAAATCATCCATAAAAGTGATATTTTTTTTGTATCGAAGAAAAGTGGTAAAAATATTTATAACAGTGATAAAAATTCACACAAAAGTAATAAATTACCCACAAAAATGATAATTTTCTTTTTACAAAATAACCAATAAAAAATATAAAAATACCCATTAAAATAATAAAAATTAGAGGTACAATACCAAAATTTTTTCTTTAATACCGTAGTCATGCCCATATATTATTCGTATGCTACATTGCTTCACTGGAGTCCATGACTCGAATTATTTAATATATTTCGATCTGTTATGCACTTGTTTATCATATTTTTCTCAATTATTCTCATCTCCTAGATGGAACAAACGTGAGTTATGGAATAAGAATGCGATTCATATTCCAATGTGGGAGTCTTGTCACACTAAAATTGGACCATAATGATAATATTTGGCCATTTTTTTTTCTTATATTAATGAAAAATTCACTTGAATATAATTATTAATCGTATAGATTGATGGTGGACAAAACGTTCGAAAAATTAATGAAATTCTATTTGGATTGGATTTGAATCTTAAAGTTATTTAATTAAAAATTTTCTTATTGATGATGCATAAAATTGATTATGCACAATCAAATTAATAGAGTGTGTGGTGTAAAGTAATTAATAAAATAATTAATAATAAGAGGAAAAGATTGAGTAGCTGGGTTTAGGTGACCTAACTACTGAACGCGATAACGGTGATCGAAGAACTCTATCAATAAGAGATTACAAGATAGTAGGACAAAGAGAGAGAGCGCAAGAATATGCTCAAGGTGAGGTGTGTGTAATCTGTCCCCATGTGTATGAGGGTTTACGATTTTTAGGTAGAGACACTTTAGTTGAAACAGTGGCGTGAGGGTCATGGTACTAGTTTGTTAAGAATGATAATTATAATTGGGGATAGACATTACCTTGGAGTCATGACTATCCCGATAATTGTTCTTTCATGTGCGTCAACTCTTCCAAGACTCTTGAGTTTTGAATTGAATTAAAGTTATTAGATAAGTCTGGTATGCTTTTTAATGGTTTGAGTTTAACCAATGAACTAAGCCCAGGACTAGTTTGAATCTGAGCTCGTCACTTATCTTTCACAAAACCCCGCAAAAATAAGGAAAAAACAAAGGAAAGAAGGGAAACTTTTACATATATAGGAAGGAATTATGTGGTTGTAAGGCTAATAATCGAGTCGAGTTATTCGAGCTCGCCTTATATAAGGCTCTTAAAAAACGAGTCAAGTTTAAATAATTTTTTAAGTTTGTTTAAAAAATTGAATTTAAAAAATTTGGTTTGAACTCAAAAAATTGACTCGTTTATATATAAAATAATTAAGTTATTCGAGTTTAGCTTAAGTTTGACTAATTTTTGGCTCGATTTGGGCATAGTTTGAACTATTTTTTTTAAATTGGTTTAAAAAAATGAATATAACAGGTTGAACTTGAAGCCAAACCAGAGGTGTGCGCATTACACACCAATAACCAGTGGTGACGATTTTTTAGTGTGAGTCTCTCGCGAGATGAGATGAAACATTTCTCGAGAGATTGGACGCCGTCTGGTTTAGAAAGAAATCAAATAAAGACGTACATATAGGGCGAGGTTATTATATACAAAGACAAAGAAGCAAGAGCACCATTCCAGAACTTGGTGAGCAGAAGAAAAAAGTTACAGAGGAGAAAGAGAGAGAGAGTTTCAACTGGGGAGGAAAAGGGATTATGGTGGATCATGACACGCCATTAAAGGTTTGGTCACTACGCAACACAGATTTCAACTACACTTTCAATTCTCTCTCTCTCTCTCTCTCCGTGTCTTTTCTATCTAGGGTTTTGAGTTCACGCGGTACTCTCTCTTTTTCTTCGTTGCGCAGCTCGATTTGTTTCTGACTTGTGGAATTTAGAGTTTCGGTGTGGTTTTTGAATTGAATTTTGTGTCTTTTAGGGGTTTGGATCAGTTGATCCGTGGAGTTTTGCCGAATTTTGTGGTTTGTTTGAATGTGTATTTGAATTTTGATAATGAGAGTCTGTTTATCATATATTTGTGTTGTTTTCGTAAGAATTTGAGGATTAAGATGTCGTAATTTGGTGCAGAATTTGTAAAATTTGATGTCAATTGGTGGAAAGGAGAGGCTTTTAAGAATGCACACCGCCGATCACATTCTGTTATTTGGGTGTTTCGTGTTTCTTGGTATTCTAGAAGTATCAAGTCTCTGCATGTATGTGTCTGTATGCTACTATCTTAAGTGAGCTTCAGTTGACTGGGTTGTTACACTTGGGATGAAAGAGAGAGTTTTGATTAGCTCAACTCAATAATATGAGAAATGGGTAGTCATTTGATAAAGAAAGATATAAAGAGATAAGTAGCTTACAGATTGCAGCTTTTTCCCTTCTAATATTTTGAATAAAATGGTTAATTCAATTGGTGCATTTGGACTTGTGATCAACAGTATGTTATATTTTTAATTTTGTTTGAATTTGAGGGAAAACTTTTCAAATTGAATAAGACAAAATTGGAATCTTAGTAGTTATTTCTTACCTACCACAAAATGATTGTTCTTACTTGAATGAATGTGATTATTTATATCTGAATGCAGAACTTATGAAATTGGTTTCTTTATGTGGATGGACACAGAAATTGATGAATTGTGCGGTACTCACTGATGTTTTAGAAACCAGAACATTTAGCAGCTTGGATTTATGGTACTTGAGGTTTTAGTTGAGGCCTGATCAGAGAGGTGTTAGTCAAGTGAGATAGATGGAGTCTGCAAGGCGTTGGTTTGGTAAATTCCGATCAAAAGATAAGCAGAAGAGTTCAAAGAAGAATGAAGCTACAAGTAATGGAAAAGAAGGGTCAAAAGCACTACCAAGTGAGGAAATACCTTCAGACGCCACTAAGCAGAAGGTTGAAGCTGCTAAGCAGTATATAGAAAAGCATTATAAGGAGCAAATGAAGAACCTGCAGGAGCGGAAGGAGCGGTATGATCTCTCTGCTCTGTTTATATATTATCAGCTTAATTTCTGTAATTGGTCATTTTGGATTATACACTTTCCAATGAATGATTTTGTTGTCTGATTTGCCAACAATGCACAAGCATGAGGTTCCAATATGGAACTATTTATTGGAAGAATGTTACTAAATTTTGATGGTCCTCATTCATTTGACACTTGGGAAGCATTCCATCAAAAACTGTATTTTTGGAAAGCATTTCAACATTATTTTCTTTAATATATAGATGTCTTACAATCTAGGAGTGCCATCAAGGAATCTTCTAAACCTATGGTTTTTTTGCATACCAATCCAACTTGGTGCTTCTCCACACTATTGGCATTACCTGTTCTGGCGTTCTTTTTCTTATATTGTACTCATTGTATTGAATTTCAGTGATGATTTATAATACAATCACTGAACAACAAATTACAGTTGATGCCACGGCATGGGCGCATTAGTTGATACTTGCTAGATTATTGTGCTGATTCAATAACATTATGGCATCTGGTGTACTTAAAAGGGTTGGTGCTTGGTAATTAAGACTAGAATTAGGATAGGTTCCAGTAGATTATGCATGCAGGTTATTGAGTCTATTTTTTGATGGGTAACTTGTTATTGATATAAAATTGTGATGAAGAGTGTGTGCAGCACATGAATCAACTTTATCATTTAGTCTATGCCAATACGCGAAGGCGGAGTAGGGGTTTTTTCTTCACTTGGTGTCTCCCCTTTTCAACAATCCACTAACTCAAGACTATTGCTTCCCATTTGGTCTTTACTCATACAAACTCATTTAACTCTACCGACTAACTCAAGATTATCACTTCCTATTTGGTTTTTACCCACACAAACTCATATTTATTCATGCTTCTTGACCTTTTCTCTTTCTTCCACTCTCTTTCTTCGCAACACCTAAAAAAATACAGAACTTGGTGGTTACAAAATTCAAGAATTTTTGTATCATTAGTTGAATGTATTTGGTATACACATCCTTTTAACCGAGTTTGAGACTGCTGGTATGGCATTTATGCCAAAGAATAATTTTTCTCCTTCAATGTGATCCCATCTCTTGCCACTCAAACTCAGTAGTTCCTCTTGGCATTTTTGTTTTGTGTTTTTTTCTATGCCATTGGTTGCAAAACTCTATAATCATGGTCTAATGATTGTTTGTTCACATGCTGAAAATTGTAACCCTAGTGGCATTAGGTCATAAGTGGAAATCTTCTAATTTTATTCTTCATTGATTGCCCAAGTGGTATACTAAACAATCAACTGTCACCGAGTCTCTTGTAGAACGTTCCACGAATATATTACCAATTATGTTGAGTTAGATGTGCAAAATGAACGGAGCCCAACTAAGTACTAAATTGTTCAAGCTTGTGGCTCGTCTAGTTCAAGAGAATGTTCAATTTTGGCTCGAGATCGTGTTGAACTCCAAAAATTTGATCAACGTCGTCTCGTCTAATTTTTATCCAGACTAGAGTTTAACTTGGCTTGACTCGACTCAATTAAAGAAGCAAGTCGAGTCGTAGCCACTTCGTGCAAAGGCAACAAAAGAACTCAGCGGAAGTCCTTTTTATAGAGAGGCCACAACTTCTCTTTTATCTGGTTTCGATGTGTGATTTTATTTATAGGGCGGTTTCTACTTTTTTTGTTTATCGGTTTCGATGTGGGATAACTTCACAAGAGGTAAGAGTGTTGACTGTTGGGTGTTCTCTTCCTTAGTCCATAAAAGTCATTTGGGTCTTTCTTATCATCTTTCTATTCCTTTCTATCTCTCTCTCTCTTTCTCTCACACTCAATGGTGCCCTATGGGCATTAGAATAGGTGTGTGTCCGTGTTTATGTGCAACTCAACATGAAACATATGCATACAATATTATATATATCTATGTTTGTATATAGATATATAATCTATTTAGGAGCCTAGATTTTGTAGACAAGATATGTTCAAGCTCCACTCATTTGATAAACGAGCTTTAAAATTGGGCTAAAGCTCATTTCATTCTGTATATAAACAAACATGAAAGAGCTTTAATTCGAGATGATCCTGAGTTGCTCATGAACAACTTGGTTGATTTGTAGCCCTATGTTGTGTTGGTATATATATGTATTAGTGGTCTGTGGAATGTTGGAAATTCTTTTCCTTGGCTTTTAGCAAATCATTGAGAAGAGGAAAGTTGAGACTTGAGATCGGGTATAATATTATAGTGTACTTTTTTTTGTGGGTATGACTAGGGAACTTTTGATCCTTATCTACAAATTCCTCTTTCAGAGCATATACGGTGTTAAATATGGTATTTCAACAAGAATTTATGATCTAAATTTTTGTTAAAAGGAACAGAAAAGGAGGAATCCAAAGAAGGAAATGGAAATAGTTTGGGGAACATGAGCATTAAAGCTTAGAAGGCCATTTATTTCCTTAATTTACATTTTAATCCAGTTAGATTCACAATTTCCTTTTATATATCATTCCATTACATCCATTTAATGGCTACTACAAAAATCTAAAGAGGTAGTTTGTTCCTAAAAATAGTCCTTTTTCTTAGGCATTACACTTTAACCATCCATTATAGGCCATCTAGGAAGCATGAATTCAAATATGAGATATGGGTACGATACAGACATAGTGATATAGCAAAAGTTAAAAAACAATACATGTATATGACCAAAATATGTCTAATGGAAAAAAATCTATTTTATATTTTTACTAATATTTGACGATTTGATAATTATAATCTTTTGAAAGTCTTCACTAAGAATTCGGGAAAAAAATAATAATTTTTACTTCAAACAATCATAGGTCGTCTCATTAAAGTATATTCACAAAATGGACTGCGCTAACTAAATGAACTAGAGCAGGCATTCAACTAGTTGATTTTCTTAGAAGTATTTTTTTCTAAGAGATAGGGTGTAATTAACTTATTTTTATGACCTTTTGATGAGGGGTAGCAAATAATAATGAAGAAACACCCACGTTTCTTCAAAGTCATATGTATTTTTTGTTGTGTATCATTGTATGCGAATTCAAGAGGAAAAAGGTAAATATTAAACTGAATTTATATATATCGCTCTGCGTATCAACTCTTATATCCAAAACATATATGTATTCAATATCGATATCTGAGACTTGTCCATAAACAAAATTATTTTAGCTATTATTAGATACGTAGGGTGCGTACTCGATATGTATTCTTGAGTATCTTATACGTATCGCATCCTATACAATATTGATACGAATATTTCGACCTAGATCGATTATCAGTGCTTTATAGGTGCCCATAAAGGGTTAATAATTCCCAAAGCGATGATTAATCAATTGACAAGGGAAATTACACTTTGACTCCTTTAATTATGACGTGATTGAACTTTACTACTTGAGCTATTAAATTTTGAATATGCTCCATCAACTATTTGAATTAGTTTCAGATTTCCGAAACACAAACTTTTGCCATCTTTTGTACAGAAATTGTCCACATGTCAGCTAAGTGACACATAACTTAGGTGACAAAGTGGACAACTTTCTATCAAATTCATAATGGACTCTAATCACAAGGGTTATGTGAAACTAATAACCGTATATGAAGGTGCAATGTGAAACATAATTGTGTTTGGTGCATTGTGAAATGAGTCACATATTTTGGGGTCCAAGTGTAATTTGTCCTTTTAAATTTAGGTTGGGTAGACAATATTCAAGAAAAGAGTTGAATAGCTAACTTTAATTGTTAGAGATTAGGCTATTCAATGCTACAGATATAGGAAGCAGCGGTATTGGGGGAAAGGTTTTCCAATTAGGAGATTATATAGGATCGAGATTTATTATCTAGACCAAATTGTAGAATCGACCGAGTGTCAAATCAAAAAATATCATTATGCGATTGAAAGTTGCATTATTTTTGCTACTTTAATATGGGCATTTGGACAAACTTGAGGTTTGAGAATAAGACATCCTTCTTCGATGTTGCATCTATTGCTTAGCTATGTGTCTTTTCATTTTGCCACTACTTGTGAGATATTCTCAATAATGCATTGACAAAGATCATGTGATGTAGGACCAGAGAGAGAGAGAGAGAGAGAGAGAGAGAGAGAGGGTACCCAATTTCAATTCAATGTCAATATCCAGTGAGGAAATATTATTTTAATTACCATAAACCTAGTATTTATAGGCTTCACCCAAAGTCTAAATATGGAAGTACAAATCCCAAAAGTGACAAATTGACATAAGTTAATTTTAAAATCAGGCCTTCGTTAAGGAGTAAATAAAATTAATTGTGCCCACACTTTCACATTGCAATAGTTGTGTTTTTTGCGATCCGTATCACCATGTGTCGCACTATTGGGGTCCATTGTTTCGACCAACAATTTACTTCTTATTTACCACCTTATCATTTCCTTTTCAAAAGTATTTTGCAATTTCACCTTTATGTGTTTGGAAAGGGATTAATTATCGAACATATGAAACTATATTGGTGAATTTACTAAATTTTGTTTACCAAATGAATGTGGGTGGTTGGATTAGTGGTTCCCACTAAATAAAATAAATTAGGCCCATTGATATAAGAATCTTGGTCTGGTTGCAAACGACCGTGGATTAGCAGGTTCTGTAAATATGTTAAGAATCTATGTCCAGGTCCAAATCACCGTGGATTAACGGGTTCCATTGATCTAAGGAAACAGAAGTTTAACAATCAACCAAGTCCTTTTTTGGCCTAACAAAATTCATAGAACCTGTTAGGCCAAAAAAGGAATTGTTTTGGCTATTAAACTTTTGTTTCCTTTATTTAAAGTAGTCAAATATTTCAATGAAATTTTGTTTCTTATAAAAAATTAAAGATAGCCAAAATATTCTTTTTGTTGCCAATGGAAATTGGCGAGACAATCCATCCATGACTTTTTATCTAGGAAGCATGGATACGGATACAATGCTATAATAAAATATATGTTATATTTTTTACTATTATCTAACAACTTGATATTTATAATTTTTAATAATTCTTTTAAAATAATTTTTACATTTGCAATTTTTACTTTAAAAAGGGTATGTATCGTCTCACTATAGTCTATCCACAGGGTGAATTTTACTAATTAAAGGAATAAGAGCCACCAATTAACTAGTTGGTTTGCCTAGAAATAGTTGTTGCTCAGATTATAGTGTAATTAACTCATTTATATTTGTTTGACGGGTAAACTTACACTTATCAACTCCTCAGCTCGTCCACATAAGCATGTAATAGTACTTAGAAAACACCCATGTCTTTAAAAGTCATATGGATTTTTGTTGATGTATTGCATCACATGTGAATTTGAAAGGAGGGAGTAAAAATTAAAATTGAAAATTATATATTGCTTTGCATGTAGTAGTATTTGTGGAGTATCTGCATATTTTATTTTTTTATCAAATACGCATCTTATTCTCAAATATTTTATGGGTTTCATATGATCGTATCTCTTATGGTATTCAATACAGAGACATCGACTTTTACAAAGTATCCGTGTTTCATAGCTTTTCATACGTTTTATTTTTTGGATTCTCACTCGCTATCATCTTAATTTAGCTATAATAAACCGCGTCTATGATCCTTCGAAAAACTCATTCTAGTCATTTATTTTTCTGCATTTTCAAGTTATTGTTCTCGTAAGTTTTGTCTTCTTAAATCGAGGTGTATATAAGGTTGGGTTACTTGCATGGGTCTACTCTCCATCTTAAGCAGACTCAAAGCAATCTAACAATTAGTTGAGAGACCCGTTAAGCATATAAACCAACCTTAGTTGTCCTAATCATTCGATGTGGGGTACAATCTCTCTTTACACTATCTCTCATGTTGGATCTGGGTTTGCACGTGAGGTTAACAAACATGCATACCCAAAAATCCGAATAGGTAAGAGACTTTGCCTACTGACCACCGAAAGCCTAGCTCTAATACAATGTGAGAGTACCCAACTTAATATCAATTGACAATGCCCCTCAAGTATATAAACCAACCTGGGTATACTTCTTTTTCCTTTCTGTCGTGTGGCGTCTTGTTGTCCATTATGGAAAATGCCTCTTAAAATCTAAGTTCTTTCTTCCTTCAATTATTTCCTGTTCCTCCTAGCTTCAACATCTAGTATGTTTGTGGACATTGTGCTTGTTCTCTTTGCCTTTCTCAAACAGATGGAACCCAATTGAATTGTGCTACTCTCGATGAATATTGCTTTAAGACCATTTTTCAAACCTTGCCCAGGTCCACTATTAATTTTTGTGTTGAATATGTTTGGAGGTTTTTGGGAAACATATCGGTTTCTCACAGCAGTTAATGTGGTTGTTGAATTTTTGGGTTGGAGAGGAATTTCATTTCTGGCTTTTTTCTTTCTGGTTGCCTTTTAGATATTGTTTCTGACCTTTATTATTTGTTAAGTGGGACATTGCTTCCCCTTTTTCTTTTTCTTTTTTTTTTATTCGCGTTGTTGATTTTGCATTTCAAGAATCAAAATATTTGTTGTCATGAACTTTCAAGTTCGTAGTACTTTGCGGTGATCGTTTTGTGCTTTCATGTAGACGAAATATGCTGGAAAGGAAATTGGCGGATGCTGAGGTTTCTGAAGAAGAGCAAAACAACATCCTGAAGTATCTAGAGAATAAGGAAAGAGAATATATGCGTCTTCAAAGGCATAAAATGGGCGCTGATGATTTTGAGCCACTGACAATGATAGGAAAGGGCGCATTTGGAGAGGTATGACTCTCTCTCTCTCTCTCTCTCCACCTTCCCTTTCTTGCCATCTGGATGCTATTCTAGCTTGCAAAAATGGCTGTAAATCTGTATTTGTTTCGGAAACATTTTCTGCATCTCTCTCTCTCTCTCTCTCTCTGTGTTGAGGCTGGGGTATGCAATGGAATAGAAAAGAATTGTTTCTAAGTTCTTTGCTTGAGAAAAATTTATATTGGGGGAATGCAATCAAATTTCATTGACAGTCCATGTTTCCTTATGTTTATTTTTAAACATTAGGAGCAAATGTCTTCAAAAAGGCTTGAAACAATATTGTTCCTCTTGAAATTACACTCCCGCAATTGTCCTGTGCAAGCAATTCATTACGTTGATATATGTACATATCTCAGAAACATGTCATTCTTCAAATGCAGTACCTGGCTCCCTGCTTTAGTTGACTGACCTGGACCAAGTAGGTTTGAATTACGACAACATTTGACAGTGTTTTAGTTCATTCTCTCATTCATAAAACCACACCTTGATGAAAACAATTCATTTGAGCATAAGCCTCTCTGATTGGCTATTGGTTGCTGAGTTATTGGAATGGGATGGTTTATTACTTATGATATTTAGTGGGATTTCTTGCATTTTTTTCAGTAATTAGTGAGGTTTTGGTTTGCATATATGGTAACATCTATTTGTATGGTGCAGGTTAGAGTATGTAGGGAGAAGACAACAGGTCATGTATATGCCATGAAAAAGCTTAAGAAGTCGGAAATGCTTCGCAGAGGCCAGGTAAAGCCGTAAAAGTTGTTTTAGCATGGCAAACAATGGTATTTCAGGTTGTGCAAATTATTCTAATTGCCATTATTGAATTTGCTTAGGTTGAACATGTCAAAGCAGAAAGGAATCTACTTGCGGAGGTCGACAGCAATTGCATTGTCAAGCTTTATTGTTCCTTCCAAGATGAGGAGTATCTCTATCTCATTATGGAATACCTACCTGGTGGAGATATGATGACTTTACTTATGCGGAAGGATACATTAACTGAAGATGAGGCCAGGTTTTATGTTGGGGAAACAGTCCTAGCTATTGAATCCATCCATAAGCATAATTATATTCATAGGTTGGTAAAATTTTTAGCAATGATAATTTAATAGGAATCGATGGTAGAGTTCTCACAAAGGGTTCTTGTATTATATCAGAAGGAGTAATTTTTCCATATTTATGTGCAACAGGGATATCAAGCCCGACAACTTGCTACTTGATAGATATGGCCACATGAAATTGTCGGATTTTGGATTATGTAAACCACTGGACTGCAGTAATCTACATGAGAAGGATTTTACTGTGGGAAGTAACCTTAGTGGGGCTCTTCAAAGTGATGGACGGCCTTTAAAGCCAAAGCGCACCCAGCAGGAGCAACTGCAGCATTGGCAGAGGAATAGGAGGATGCTTGTAAACTCTCTACTATTAAAGTATCTCATGTTGCCTTTTTTATTATTATTATTATTTTTTTTTTTGGGGGGGGGGGTTGTTAGTAATCAGTACTTCAATATCTTACAGTTCAAACATAAAATAGGCAGTTCTTTAGAGTATGAGATGTAGTACAGCAGCAAACCCAAAAATAATTACACATGAACACTAATTTTGGGGAAGTTAGGATTTGATGGATTGAAAGTGAAAGGGAGGGGTAGGACTGGGTAGATAACGTTCAAGGATATAAAGATGTGTGTATTAGACCTAGTGATTGGGTTTATTGCTTAGATAGTTCAATAAAAATAGAAGAAGGAAGAAGCAAAAGGAAAAAAGAAACTAGGTATCACTACAAAGGTTCCTTAGGCATCACACTTGGGGTTTTGAATTATATGTTACAATTCCTAAAGCATAGCTCAAAAGTTATTGGAATATACTCTCCCTAGTTAATTAACATTACATGGCTATATATAGGCCTCCAAGTATTTCCTAAGCGCGAAGATTTGGACTCCAATTTACATATTGAGTGGGAAACTTGTATGGACTGGCACTATAATTTTAAATGTAGAAATTTAAAAAAAAAAACAGATAAAATAACCAACTTAAAGTAATTAAAAAATAAGACTCTAATATATCATGCAAGGTTCCACTTGGGTCTCAGTTTAATGGCAAGTTTACTTCTTTTTCACGTCTTTGAGTTTGGCTTTCCTTGAACATCTTATGGTTTGCATCAGCATGTTTTACAAAATATTCCACTTTTGAGTCTTGTCATATAGTGTGTCACCATTGTTCAGGTAAAATCTCCATACATGAGGTTATTTGACAATTTTGTGAAGTGGATGAGGCTGGACCTTCATGTCTCATGTTACTTAGTGGTAATAAAACCCATACTAAGCTGGTTGAAAAGTGCCTTTTGTTTCCTGGTTATCAGATAGAGTTCAGCTCTTCTAATTATCAAAGTACTTAAAACTCTGAGATTATCCTTAGCTGAATACTATAGAGAACAACTAATGAAAGCTACCAGTGGCTGCCATTTTTTTGCTTCTCAATTGTGTTTTAAAATGCTTTTTGATGGAAACATCTAAATTTTTCCATATTGGAAAAATTATAGGCTTATTCCACTGTGGGGACACCTGATTATATCGCTCCAGAAGTTTTGCTGAAGAAAGGATATGGAATGGAATGTGATTGGTTTGTGGTTTCTGACAGAATTCTTTTTTCTTTATAACGAAACATCTATTATATAAAGATTCATATCTGGACTCTCTTTATAAATTTACAGGTGGTCTCTTGGTGCTATTATGTACGAAATGCTTGTGGGATATCCACCTTTTTATTCAGATGAACCTATGTCTACCTGCAGGAAGGTAATATTGGTTTTATTGTCCTGGGGTCAGGTTTTTCATTCGATATATTAGTTTGACTTGAATCGAGCTTTTGTGTCATGTTGTCACTATATTAGGTTTTCTCTCATTGCATATCTTATATGAGATAATGGTTCTCATTATCACATCCTTGTTCACATCTTGAAAATTTTGTAGATACATTTTTAGTGTTTCAGTGTCTTACCTGTGCATTCAGTCAAACCAGTTATTTTTGGTGGAAGGTTTTTCAATTTACAATTGAATAGGACTAAATCTGATTTCCATTTATTTGGTTTCATAAAAAAGGTGGGAGATCATAAGATCAGATTGCAATCTCAACCCTGTTGCAATCATTAGCATGTATAAGTTTCTTAAATGACATATGATCACGTTGATCTTGTAAGTGAACTCTCCAATTATTACATTTTCTGTTGGGGCTTTTGTTGACTCTTAGAGTTCATTTGGAAGTCCAACATTCCAGTTGTGTATTTCTTTGGGCCCTTTGATTGCTCATGTTCTCATTGTTTCATTGGATGATGGAAACATAGGTGTTGGAGGTGATACTATGAATGTTAGTTATTAGAATGAAGGTGGTTCTATTCTCACTTCTTTCTATGACATTTTGATTCTTAAAGATTATAATTTCTCCATGCCCTGCCATGTTCTCCTCTCTCTCATTGTTATCCGGATAAAAAGCTTTTTAAGGGTGTAGTTGATGTAGATCGTATTAGCTCTGATACCAAATTGACGTAGACTAAGAATGTAAGAAATAGGAATGAGAAGAGAAGAAAAAATAGATGAGAAAAAAGAAAGAATTTGAGAAACAATATCAGTATTCAATAATAATCAAAGTCTAATCTAAATAAAACCGTCACATGCACCCCTTTATATAGGGAAACTAAGACTCTAAAACAAATAAATAATGACAAATAAACCCTCAAAAGTTAAAAGAAATTACTTAAATGATAAATATTAAAAGTATCTAAATAACTTTCATAACTAATCTATAATATATATCTAATTCCTATACGATCCCCAATAGCAGGTTTTGGGACAGAAACTATCAATGCGGACTGAATCATGTGCAAGGATATTACCCCAAATATAGCTAGTTAAGTGGATATTACCGTAAATCTGGCATTTTAGTTGGATAACATCCATCTCAATTGTTTCCCTATATGGGCGAGGCATGAAGTACGCGATGAAATGGTTGACTGATTGTACTATCTATAATCATCTACCTAATGTTTGCCTTAACTACCTATTTGTTTTCCCCCTTAGTTAAAGGAATTTTGAAGGCATCAAAATTCTCACATGGTTTGCCTTGTCATTTTCTATTATATTTTCTGAAGAATTTAAAACTGTTAGAAGAATAATTTTTTAGCATTTGTACTTCCACCTTTGCAACTAATTTTTTCTCTTCTGTCATTTCAGAATTCTTTTTCTAGGCTGCATCTTGATTTCTCTTTTCTCATTGGTGCAGATAGTGAACTGGAGAAGTCATTTAAAATTTCCAGAAGAAGCAAAGCTATCTCCAGAAGCAAAAGATCTTATTTGTAAACTTTTATGTAATGTAGATCAGAGGCTTGGTACCAAAGGCGCAGATGAAATAAAGGTGTTGTGTGGTGTGTTCCATTCTGAATTGTTCTAATATGCTTACTTGGTGAATTGCAAATTAAGGAATCACCTGGTTGTTATGTTCAGGCTCACCCATGGTTCAGAGGTATTGAATGGGACAAATTGTATCAAATGAAAGCTGCATTTATTCCAGAAGTTAATGATGAGTTGGATACCCAGAATTTTGAGAAGTTTGAAGAGGTAAAATAGTCCTTCCATTTGGATAAATTAATATGGTTACTCCTGTTTGCAGACAATTTTTTGGCTCAATTTTTTACCTTCTTATGCTTCTTTTTTGTTGTTGCAGAGTGATAATCAAATGACGACCACAACAAAATCAGGTCCATGGAGGAAGGTTGGAATATATAGTTTTAATTGTGTGCATCCTATGCCTCTAAAGCCACTCTACTGTTGGTTACATTGACATCATGAATATGAGCTCCTAGAAAGAGCAACAATTTTAGAAATAACATCCACTCAAAAGTGCATCTGAATCCGTCGTGTGCTCTACACAAAACGTATATCTTAATATATCTTTATAGAGCATATAACAGTTCTTACAAATTTTGTCGATAGGACCTACGTACCCATTGAGTTTAATGGCTCCTGACCTATGTACCCAGATATAAAAACTTGTAATCAAGTTTCGAGAGATGCAAACCATCTTTTTTTTTTTTTTTTATAAATCAATATCACGGAGCTGAAGTCAAATGCATGATCTAAGGTTAATCATCTAGTGGAGCTTGCATATCCATGGATTGGACGTAAATCCACCCCTTAGTCGTGTGTTGTACGTACCCTGGTAAGTTGTTGGCCAAAATAATTGTTTGGCGGATGAGAACTTCCGTTAAGCATAACCATCCCAGTGCTTCGTCCACCATCAGAGCATCTCTATCACACTAGCTCTTTTTTCTCCTAATAAAGGCAGAAGAAGAAATTGAAGAAAGTAGGAATGGCCCAGATTACGGTGCATCTAGGATTGGCAACTCTTTCTGTTAGGATGCACTTCATTGTTAGAAATGAGGTAGTTTGGGATTACTTGAGGGATAAGAAAATTTTCCTAAAAAGTTTGTCTTTAGGAAGACATGAATGTATTAGTGTTGCAGCATTCTATTCGGGTGAAAATGATTAGTGGTAAGTTGATCTTGGAATCTGATAGAAACTTATGTTTGCAAAGTCTATCCCACATCATTGATGCATGAAGCATGTTTCTGATTATTGATATTCTCTTCCATAACTTATTTATGAACTCTGCATATCAGTTCATCACTCTAGTGTCTGCTTCTGTCTTGGGACAGATGCTTCCGTCTAAGGATGTCAACTTCGTGGGCTACACATATAAAAACTTCGAAATCGTGAACGATCATGAGGTTCCTGGAATTGGTATGTATATGTAGTATTTTATTTACCTCCATTATCATTTAATTAGGGATGATAATATTATTATGGATTTGTATTTTGCAGTTCTTTCAATTTCATTTTCTTCAACAATCAATTATGATTTATTTGGCACATTTGCTATTTTTTGGTCATAATGCTTTTATATGGTTGCAGCTGAATTGAAGAAGAAGAGTACAAAACCTAAGAGGCCCACTGTGAAGTCCCTTTTCAGTAGGATCTCTCTCTCTCTCTAAAAAGTTGGTTTTATTACAGTGGCTCTTGTTATTTCCATATGGACTGTTGCCTCGCATGAATTTTCCAAAAAAGAACAAAACTATGAATGTACCTAGACATATTTTGACAGTTCAGTTTTTGCTGTTTGAGCCCAGGAGTAAACAGTGCATGGTTATCTACTTATTTGTTTGTCTTCGCGTCAAAGAACAATTTCCATGGAATGACATGTCCAATAGTAATACATTGTTATCTGCAAGAAGCCGAAATCTCTTTAGTTACTTTTATGCATAACATCCATTGTTGGGAGTGACTGCCCGTTGGTGTAATTTGACATAGCTTGATCTCTTTGTATGTCTGTCTTCTATTTTTCTCAAACAGCCATTCATAGAAATAACACCCACTTTTGTCCCATTCATGTTTTAAATCTTTCAGTTTTTTTTTTTTATCTTTTGCTTACCACTATTCTACTCTTCTGCTTATTAATTTACCCTCTTTTTGGTAGAATTTTGAGATTCAATTCGGATAGAGGTTGCATTAGTTGAATCCAGTAAATTATGCAGCTTAATTTTGGCACTGAAAAGTAATTTGTTTTTTGAATTTTAAAGTTGACCTAACATTCTTATTAGTAAACATCCTCTTAAGTTTCTATTAACACCCTGGGCTTTTGAGTTCCATGCTGGAAAAATTCCTATCGATTGTTGTTGGATACAGACACCTCTTTACGACTCTTAAAAACTTGTTGGAAACTTTATTGAAGTATGATAAGATTAGATCATATGTTTTATTAGTCCAGATAATTGGACTGATTCTTCTCAAACACCCTTGTTCAAATAACCTTGGGTTCTTTGTAGGAGTTCTGTCTAATACTCCTAGCAACAAGATGACAGCAACCCAAAGTATCCAATGACATCAAATAATCATACTATATAGAAATTTAGGGATTGATATTTAAACCGCAAAAATAAATTTAGAAATTGGTTGAAATTTATTTGCCTTCAATGTAATTTTCACTTGGTTTATTCTTGTTATTTGCCTTTTGTGCCTATGTGCCCTGGAAACATTGTAAGAATATTAGTATAACTATTAAGAGACCATAACCAAAAATAAGGGTGTATTCAACTGCTCATATCCTTGTTTTGGCATGCTACAGATGAAGAGTTGGATTCTGCTTCGGCTCAACCTGCTCAAGGGAGCTTTCTCAACCTGTTGCCTCGACAACTAGAAATCTCGAAGAAGGGCGAACCCGTCTAAACCTCACTAATCTGTCTATAACATCAATGACCATAGTCAATCAAGCAAACCATGATTAAGTTTTTTCCAAGTGAAAAGCTTCTGTTGGGCTGCTTTCATTCAAAAAAAAAAATTCAAATTGGAAGTTATGGTGAAGGCAGTTTTGGCGGCACTTATCTACCTTGTTCAACTTGTATCTTGATCTTTGTCAATAGGTTTCTGTAATTGTATATTTCATTTTTTCAGAGGTAATGTGTAGTTTTTTTTTTAACCCTTTTGTTGAGCTGCAGAAACACTCTACAGTAAGTTGCAGTTGTTGTTGCTCATGTAATTATCTTCTCACTATAGGTTTAATGCTATCAACACCAAATTCAAGATTGAAATCTCTGTTTGGATCCAATTTTGGAGTCTGTGTGTGTGTGTGTGTGTGTGTGTGAGTTGACTAATGAAGTTAACTACCAGTTTGACCAGAGTCTCGTGTATTGAGTTTCTTTTTCTAATGTTTGATTCCAGTTCTGCTGGCACACAGATATGTTGTTGTGGACTTATTACTCCTAATAACGTTGTCTAAACAATTGCCTCCGGTCCCAGGTAGCACAAGAAGTCATACCCAATGGTTGATTTACAAAGACAACGGTTGTCTGTTCCCAAAAAAAAACCAAGGTCGATGGTAAACATAGCCTCATCTAAAGATTTGAGAAACCATCTTCATCATTAAAAAACTATAGCTTGATTTTAAAAAATTATAAATTTTGGTATGACAACTTTTTTGGTAACATAATGTTACTCTATAAACAAACGTCCTAATAACTTTGTTATTTATGATATAAATTCGAGATTTAAATCACATCGAGTGAGAGCGGGAGTAAAAGCGAGAGTCGAAGAATAAAACTTAAATAATGCAAAAAAATCTTAAAACACGGGCGACCGTCTTGAAAGCGTCACAATGACCGGGGGTGTGGACTTATTTGGAATCCAGCAGCCCAAGACCCATTTGGCCGCCTCACCAATATATAATCGGTTTTGAGTTCTTCGGCCACCCTTGTGCTCCGTTTGGTACGACGAGAAAATGAAAGGATTGAAAGTTAGAGGAATAGATAAAATATCATGTTTGGTATAAAAAGAAAATAGGAATGATGAAAAAGTAGATGAATTAACTTTTTTCCATTTCACTAAAATCAATCCCTCCAAAATCAGAAAAAAAATAGATGAAAAGTTAATTATTTGTGTCGAAATATATATTATTTATCTATATATATTATGTATATATATATAATATATATATATATATATATATATACTTTTTTTAAAAAAATAAAAATTTTAAATTAAAAAAATATATTTTTTTCATCTTAATTAGGATGAAAATTTTCGACTAAACACGATGACATGACTCGAATTCGACACAAATTTTATGATATAAATTTAATTATAATTCGACAAAAACTTAAAAATGACTTAACACGATATGACACGACTCAATTGTCAACCCAATTCTTAACGAGCAAAAAAAAAATTACTCCCTTTTAGTTTTCATCTATCCAACTAAACAAAAGGAAGAAAAATATATGAGGATAAAAAAATGTATTCCACCTCCGTTTCATCATTCCTACCGAGCGGAGCATCAGTCTCGAGCCAAGACTTGCTCAAATCTCTCTGTCCCTCTCTTTCTCTGGCTGTGTGAAATCGGTGTTTCTGAGAGGTGAATATGCAGGTAATTCTCTGGTACACACATACAAATATTTCTAATGCAATTGTCTTAAATAGATTGAATTTCAAGGTTTACGCTGCTTCGAACAATGAAATTCAAAAACCCTAAGCTCGTTCCCCCTTTGGAAAACCCTAAAATTGCTCAAGGATTTCATGAATTTTACTCTTTTATCCATGTTTATTATGCTTACATACACCTAAATTTTTTTATTTTCCTGATCTAAGTGCTTAACCTTCCGTTTGTTCCCGAGAAAACCGAGGTACAAGGGAGCAAAATAAGTTAGTGATTTTAGTTGCTTTCTGGGTTTTCAGAACGGTGAAAGGAATCTGAGATCTAGAATTCGTAATTTTCTTCATTTCTCAAGAAATTTAATGTGGTTGTTAGCTACAACTCTTCCTTGTGTATATTTGATGTGTGTGGTTATTGAGAAATTTTGTTCGTTTTTAGCAGATTATATCACACTATGTTTTGAGCTCACACTCTTGTATGTTGTTGTGTTTATATATTTTATTTATTGTGGAGCTTTATAAATTATTTTCCAACCCTTTATTGGGTGTGAATGATTAATCTTTGCTGTTTTCTGTGTAGGCGAGCGACAGATTTAATATTAACTCTCAGCTTGAGCATTTGCAAGCTAAGTATGTAGGGACTGGGCATGCCGACTTAAATAGATTGTAAGTACCCATTACTTGACACGAATTTGTTTTAAAACATTCATTTGTGTTAGTTTGTTCTTATCCTTTTGATGTATTTGGTTGTGTAGTGAGTGGGCGGTCAACATTCAACGGGACAGTTATGCTGCGTACGTTGGCCATTATCCCATGCTTGCTTATTTTGCTATTGCGGAAAATGAATCAATTGGACGAGAACGTTACAATTTTATGCAGGTTCTGTCCATTTTAAGCTTTTCATTATGATTTTCATGATAAGTGATTTTCTTTTGAAAAGTTATTTTTTTAATGGCGTTTATTGCTGGAAAAAAAAATGCCCTTTAATGTCCTTTCTGCAAGTGCTTTAATATTTGCTGATTGAAGATTACTGTACATTGATGTTATTGTTGCACGTTGTGTTTTCATTTCAAATATTAAAATTGCTTTAGATATCTGAAGTCATCCTCTTGCGACATGTGGATTGATTCATTATGTCTCTGTAATTCAGCATGGTGTAGTGGTTTGAAATTGCATTCGGGTGGAAAAAAATTAGAATTTTTTGTTGGGAAGAAAAGAAGAGTTCTTTTCTCACCACGTTTCTCCCAATTTTTGTCACCTCCTGCTTGAGGAGACAGAGAAGAAAAATCAGATAAAGTCTCAAGTCTCAATGCATTAAAAGGTTGAGTAGATTTTACTGTCCCAAACTCTTTAGTGGTAAGAGCCGCGTGTACTGAATTGTCCTCTTCATTAATCTGTCCTTGAAAAATCAAGCAGCACAATTTGTTGGGAAATAGAAAAGATGAAATTTCTCATGACTGCCAACTGGACCTCACTTCTCTCTCCAGTTCTGTTTTTCTCGTCTCAAGTGTCTCCCCCCCCCCTTCCGGCCCTGCAGGGCTGGCCCAGGTGAATCTCTTCCCTTCTCTTTTTTTCTCCCATCATCTAAAGGATATCAACTCTATCGAAGAAAATGTTGTCACTACCACCTGAACCTCGCTCCTTTTCCATATTCTTGTTTTCTTAACTCTAGTGCAACCATACAAGGCTAAAATTTCATTTTTGGGCATAGTTTCAAGCAGTTTAAAAGCCAAAAACGAAAGAAAATGAAAAAAGAGGTAAAATTCCAAATTTTGATTGCAAAACATTGACTGGTTCTCCTCTTTTTGAAGTGCTCTTTTAATAACTTAAAAAAACTAGGTTGAGATATTTTTCCCTGCTACGGTATTACTTACAAGCTAGAAAACACGAATATGACATACGGGTACGATATGATACAGATACGATGATATGACAAAACCCCAAAAAAGAGGATACGAGTACGACCGAGATACGTATATAAATATATATTTTATATTTTTACTATTATGTACGGACTTGAGAGTTATAATTTTTAGTGATTCTTTAAAAATAATAAAAAACACTAGTAATTTTTTATTTTCAAAAAGTTATTTAATCTTTTTGGACTTGTGATAATGAATAATACTTGGAAAACACTCGTGTCTTTCAAGTCATATGAATTTTTGTTGATGTATTACATTGTATGTGAAATCAAAATGAATGAGTAAAGATTAAAATTAAAAATTACATATATTTCTGTGTATATAGAAGTATCATATATTTTATCTATTATTGGATATGTTTAGTGTGTATCCGATACATAATTTCGAGTATCAGACGAGTATTATATCCATCGTCGATGTATCCGTGCTTCATAGTTTACAAGATAAAAAATTTATGAAGGTTGGTTTCTATGTTGAATTCTCTTAATGGGTTGTAGTTGTTGACCTTGTACTTATTTCCTTTTTGAGGAGTGTGTTTTTAGGGTTGTTTTCTGATTGGAATTGATTGTAGTCCTATATAAGCAATGGATAATATGAATGTCCTGGATCATATTCATAGTTATTTTATTTATATTATCCTCACCAATTCTTGCTGCATATGTGGAAGGTATCTATAAGGAAACAAATTTGTATGCACTTTATAGAAAATGGGAAAATATTAAGAAGATATTGTCAATTGTATGCATTTTATAGAAAATGGTAAGCTATCAAGTAAGATGTTGTCAATAGTAATCAGTGATCAAATGCTAGTATGGAAATTTTTGCATCTGTACTGCTGGCACTGTATTGCATGAAGTTGTGGATATATTTCTTTCGTAAGAAAGTTCAGAAAAATAAGATGTAATTAGGCTATGTTAACGAACCAACTTAAAATCTTTGTGTTAGATAGATGCAATTTTCTGGATTGATCTAACCCTTTGGCAAACTTGTGAGGACAGAATGGTAGTTTCACAGAACATGTCTCAACTTTCCTCACTGTGCTATCAACTTCGATTGTCAGATGAGACATCATTCAAAGATTTTCTTCACCTGTCAAGTGTGTGAGATCAATAGCTATTTCTTACAAGTCCCATTGAGGTACTGTAAAGCGGAAAGACATTGGTTGATTTTCTTCATGATTTCATTCTTCTATGTCTTTCGGACTTGGTAACAGTTATATGCCAAGATCGCGTTGACGGTACACAGGCCTGGTTCATGACCAAAATTCTACGAGGTTACAAGGCATCATAGAACTATGACAGTATGCATTATGTAATTACTTTAGCACCCCTTACAAGAGGAGTGAGTGCAAATTATAAACTTGGCAACAACTTTTCTTCCAAACCAGATTCATGATATCCAGTTGTCGCATGCTTAGTCTACCAAGTATGCTGATGAAACTGTATTATACAGCTGCTCTCAGTACCTATCAATATTGGGAAGCATGTATATGTTGTGATGTTTTTTAGTGCTTACCCTGACAAATAGTCAGTCATACCATCATAAAACATCTGATTTTTTTTTGTTGTTCTTGAATATGTGCAGAAAATGCTTTTGCCTTGTGGTCTTCCACCTGAAAGAGAAGATGATTAAGAGATAACGCTAAGAAGTGCGAAGTAGCACCTTGCAAATTCTGGGCGTAGGGGGTGCTGTGGGGTTATGCTCATGGAGTATATGTTGTATTCTTCAATGGATTGACTTGAATACAGACCAAATATATGGCTTGATACATAACTTCGAGAACCAAGATCCATTTGTTCACTGACCTATTATGTGGAATATGACATTGTTTTGTATTGTTCATCGTAATATGCCTGTGGGTGCTTACGCTTGATCTTTTCTTAGTTTACTTCGTAAGGGTTGTTTCCTTTTGTTTAATGACATAACAGGTGAAGCTTGTCCTTGAAATCAGTGGTCAGGCTATTTGTGCTCAACTTTGGCGCAGAAGTGGGCACTTAATCCTCTTAGTATGTGTTATGTGTTATGTATTATCTGTTGATGTCTATATAAGTGTTTTATCCAATGAATAGAGGAATCCAAGGTTCGTGTGCATAATACTTCCAGCATTATCCCAATTTGTCCCCAATGGGTTTGTCTCTCTCAACCTCATAATTGTAAAGAGTTAAGACCCCATTTCAGGTGTTTGGTTTATTAGTCTTGCAATATTTTGCAGGTATTACAGAGATGAGGACTAAATCAACTATGGAAGGTACATGGTTTGGGAATGGGATAGAAAAATATTAATAATAAATCTACGCTTGTTGAAGTTTAGAAATAAAACAATTTTTTTTGTTTTGTATCCTCGATTAATGTCACCCTAGATATTCTTGAAGTATTTTTCATACAAGCTATTTTTTTCTTCGAATTTTTTTCTTAGCAATTCTAATATTTGAAACAAGATGTTGTCTAATTAGATCACAAATAACAAATAAATGAATTATCATTACGATTCAAGTTTCCACCATTAACGATGTAAGTTTCCATTTTGCACATTACAGTATTATCTTCGTCTAAGCAAGTTTTTAAACATTGGAGACTTCCGACCACATTATACCAAGGAAAGGCTACGTTATTTTAAGTGTATTTTTTTGTCCTCTCATACCAAAAATTACGATCAATCAAGTGATATTATGAATATAAAATAAAATTATTAGGGATTGAGTTAAATGGTGTTTTTATTTTTCTTTTGAAAAAATGAATGGGGGCAAAAAAAAGGGATAAAAGATCATGAGACCCTTGACCGCGTCCGTTAATCTACTTCATGAACAAATCTAATTAGACTAGTATAACAATCGGTCACCAAACTCTAATTTAAATTTCAAGACTCACACCTCCGATTTAGTTGGTTCCACTGGATCACCCCAATCCGTGGCGAGTGAAATGGTCTGATTGAATCATAACTTCATCCAAAGTGTTTATATAAAATCAAAACTTTTTGAATCCATATCCAACTCCGTACTTGTTCAGGTTGTAATTCTCAAGGCTTCTTAAGTGAGTGAGAACTTCCATTAGGCAGTAACAACAGCATCATGCTTGTTGAGGAAAAGCAACCTTCCTCATCAAGAACAGCAAAAACCCATGATGAATTTAGCTCAAACCCTCCTCCACAACCCATCTTCCATCAAAACGAAGTCCCAAGCCAAGCAACTCCACGCCCAACTCATCAAAACTACAAGAACCGCCTCTCCCTCTATCTCCTCCACCATTCTCTCCATCTACTCCAACCTCAACCTCTTACATGAATCCCTCATTGTCTTCAACACACTTCACTCACCACCCACTGTAGCTTGGAAGTCCATAATCAAGTGTTACTCTTCCAATGGTTTTTTTGCATGTTCCTTAGCTTCTTTCATCGAAATGAGGGCTTTAGGGAAGTACCCAGATCGGAATGTGTTCCCTTCTGTGCTAAAATCTTGTGCGCATTTGGGGGAATTGAGGCTTGGTCAGTCTGTTCATGGGTGTATAATAAGGCTTGGTATGGATTGTGATCTTTACACTGGAAATGCACTAATGAGCATGTACTCAAAATTGCCTGACTTAGATGTTGATGGTGGGCGTAGGTTTAATGCGTCTCAGGTGTTTGATGAAACTTCTGAATCAAAGCAACATAGTGGAGATGACTCCAATATCGAACTCTTTGAAAAATGGATTCTGCCTGTTGGTTCTAAAGCTAATTTGAATAAAGCAAGTGATTCGTTGGCTCAAACTGACAAACAAAGAGAAGATTTCGAGTTTTCGGTGGGAGGGAGAAAGAAAGGGACTATAAGAATGGAGAGTATGAGCAAAGTTTTTGAAATGATGCCTGAGAAAGATATAGTTTCATGGAATACAGTCATTATGGGCAATGCTAAAAATGGGATGTATCAGGAAGCTCTAATGATGGTGAGAGATATGGGGAATGCAAACTTGAAGCCTGATTCTTTCACTTTGTCTAGTGTGCTTCCTATTTTTGCAGAATATGTGGATGTCTTGAAGGGAAAGGAGATTCATGGATATGCTATTAGACATGGGTTTGATGAGGATGTGTTCATTGGAAGTAGCTTGATTGACATGTATGCGAATTGTACTAGGGTGGAAGATTCATGTAGACTGTTCGGTTTGTTGCCTAAACGTGATGATGTTTCATGGAACTCAATTATTGCGGGATGTGTGCAGAATGGACTGTTTGATGAAGGCCTGAAATTGTTTAGGCAGATGTTGGTGGCGAAAATTAAGCCTATGCACATTTCATTTTCAAGTGTAATGCCTGCTTGTGCTCACTTAACCACATTACATTTAGGGAAGCAGCTACATGGATGCATTATTAGGGGCGGATTTGGTGATAATGTCTTCGTAGCTAGCTCACTGGTGGACATGTATGCAAAATGTGGGAACATTAGGATAGCCCGGGGGATTTTCAATAAGATGGAGCTACATGACATGGTGTCATGGACCGCAATGACAATGGGGTATGCATTGCATGGGTTTGCCCATGATGCCATCTTGTTATTTGAGCAAATGGAGAAGGAGGGAGGAAAACCTACCTATGTGGTGTTTATTGCTGTTTTGACTGCTTGTAGCCATGCTGGATTGGTTGATGAAGCTTGGAAATATTTTAACAGCATGACCCAAGCTTATGGTATCACCCCAGGCATAGAGCACTATGCTGCTGTTGCAGACCTTCTTGGTCGAGCAGGAAAATTGGAGGAAGCTTACCAATTTATCTCTAGCATGCATATTGAGTCAACAAGCATTGTTTGGTCGACATTGTTGGCTGCTTGTAGAGTACACAAAAATGTTGAATTGGCTGAGAAGGTTGCCAAAGAAATATTTACAGTTGATCCTGAGAATATGGGAGCTTATGCTCTCTTGTCAAACACATATTCTGCTGCTGGGAGATGGAAAGCAGCAGCAAAGTTGAGAATTCGTTTGAGGGATAAGAACATGAGAAAGAAACCTGCTTGCAGCTGGATTGAAGTCAAGAACAAAGTACATGCTTTTGTGGCAGATGATACATCACACCCATATTATGACAGAATATGTGAGGCACTGGAAGTTCTCTTAGAACAAATGGAGCGAGAAGGGTATGTTCCAAACACCAATGAGGTATTACATGATGTTGAGGAGGAGCAGAAGAGACATTTATTGAGTAGCCATAGTGAAAGACTTGCAATAGCATTTGGTATTATTAGCACCCCTGCTGGGATGACAATTCGTGTTACAAAGAACCTTCGGGTTTGTATAGACTGCCATACAGCAACAAAGTTCATATCAAAGATTGTGGGAAGAGAGATAATTGTGAGAGATAATAGCCGATTTCACCATTTCAAGGATGGGAAGTGTTCATGTGGAGATTACTGGTGACAGGAATAGTGAGATACAATTGACCTATAAAAATCTTCATAAATTAGATTTAAGACAAACACTACCTCATGAAATTGTGCAAAGTTAGCAAACCCAGAGCCAAATATGCATTGCCTTGCCTTGCAATTTTCAAACCTTTGTGAAGCTGATCAGTTCCTGCATTTAATTTTTTGCTTCCAGTAAACAGAAAGGCACTTGGCAAAGAATTTGAGGGTTGAAAGGTTGGCGAAGCGAAAGGTCCTTGAAGCCAGCAACTGCATTATCTGATAGATATTGCAATCCCTTCTCCATTGCATTTCGTGTATACATAAGCACTAGGAAACTTCTACAGACAACATCCACTACAGAGATTTTTGATCATGTGTGTATCAGTACACTTTTAGTTCTTTCTTCATAACCCACATCACGAATTTGGAAGACATGGATAGGTTTTTAAGTTTAAAGAAAAGCTGCGGCCTATCAAAGAGCTAAAGTGCCTCCATCTTCCATGAAGCGGTTATTGAAGGGAAGTCCATTAGGTTCCCATGGTCTTTAAAGATTTGAGTGCAAATAAAATTTTCCCTCAAACATTGGTGATGGATATATTGCAGAGTGAAACTTGCCTTGAACATTTGCAAGGTAGTATAGCATTTGGGGTTCAAGTGCATTAATGTGAAGTTTGTCTGTTGGATGTGAGTCTGCATTTATGTGAAAAACCATACATTTAGCTACATTTTACATTTGAATGCAGGAATCCTAGTAGTAGTCAAATTCTCTGAGCTCTGACGTTTCAGGCTTTCGGTAAAACTACAGGTGGAATGATATGCTGATCATCTGCAAGGATGCAAACTTGCAAAAGGGCGGTCGGTGCACAAGGCCCCACCACTACGACTCTCTGGGGAGTATAAGGTATACACAGTCTTACCCCACACACAGAGAATCTGTTTCCATCAGGATGAACCCTTGCTGTAGCTTAAAATTTAGGCCAGCTCCAGCTCTTAACAGCAAGGTGCTGCATATAGTGTCTTGATTCGTGAATGGCTGTTTGCATTTATTTATTATTCTGATAACTACAGAGTGACTTGCGGGTTCAAATTTATTTCTTCAATCTCGCAATTTCTAACTTAATCACAAATAAATTTTATTTTCATAAAAGTATCTATTAAATCCATGTTTTTCAATCTAAGAACGTTTTTGCAAAACACATTTTCGCACATTTACTTCTACATTTTTTTTTGAAAGTGTAGAATTGAGCCACGACTTTATAAAAATAACAGTAAATTGGGAAATGGAATAGAAATTGTTGTATTTAGATAGAAAAATTTACAAAATCACGGTCCAAGAGCACGATACAAGAAATCCTTCTATTAAATGTTGAGAAACGGAATAGGAAAAACGGAATATAAATCCCAAATCAAGAGAAAATATTATTGTAACGGTTATATCACGTAATTATTGATACACGATGTAACCGTCAATTTATATAACTCAATAAACAAGCAAAATAGATCTCGCTCCTTCAAGTAACTCTCCATCTAAGATAATAATTATCTATGCAAAAAAATAGGGTTCATTTTATTTCTTTATTAACTTATCATTGAACGATTATATTACACGACAAAAATGATTTGATGTAACGGTTAACCAAAGAAAACAATAAGACAATGGATAACAGGTCTGAATTGACAATGCTCAGGTCAATTTGGGTGGCTAACTATTTGTTGTTTGATATGAAAGCTCCTATTGCAGATTGATATGAAAGCTACTATTGTAGATATGCAACTGGATAAAGTTTTATCTATTTTTCTTTATTTATTCTCAGTGTATATTATAATTATTTAGTCGGCTAACATATCAGCATAATAATAAAGGTATTGTTGAGACAGAAGAGTGGATTGGGATGGCAGGTTTAGGTTACAAGTGCTCTCCTCTTAGAGCAATTTTAAATAGAGTTGTGATTTTGGGGTGTAAAATTATTTATTTGTAACTTTAAATAGTATTTTGGCACTCCTGAATTATTAATTTACTCCAATGACAGGTGTCAAAATAGAATATCATTTTTATATTTTTATTCATCAATCTATACGAATCGTTGAATCTATATTCATCTAACAGATCTATATTTATCAACCCATTTACAATCTCTCCCTTTCTCTCTCCAAAATTGTCAAAAATGTCACCCCAAGAACCTTGATGCTATTTTCCAACCTCACGTATCACCCCCCTTAGAGTAAAAAAAATTTGATTTTGGGGTGGCATACGGGTTGCCACCCCCATATGTCACCCCTTGGAGTTGCTCTTAAAAGGTTTAGGCAGGCTATGAAAGTGAGACAGAAAAAGGTTGTTCCTTACCTGCCAGTGGTCACTACCTTAAATGACTCAGTGTCTTTTATTGGAAAAGGCTGGTGTGCATCCTCATGTCATATTGTTTTTGTTTTTCGCTAGGTGAAAGGGAGGAAACTATATATATATTTATATAGTTAATTGTATCGGAGGTTTTCAAAGTATAAAATTTGTCTCATTTTGATCCCTAATATTTCAATTGTATTATTTTAATCTCTGAAGTATTGAATATGTTTCTATATGATCTCTCAAGCAGATAACGTCTAAATTATTAATAATTTTTTATTATAAATTTGTCACGTGATACTTAAACAACAACAACAAAAAAAATTTGAATAACCCTTGACCAAATTTTTACTTAAATTTTGGTTAAATAAATATCTAAATTACACAGTTTTGATTATGAGTTATCCAAATTTTGATCAAAATTTATTTATATTAAACATTTTTTTTTGTCAAGAGCTACCTAAATTTTGTTTAGAACTATCAAAATTATTTTTTGTCCATATTTAGGTATTATGTGACAAATTTATGATAAAAAATTATAAGTAATTTGGACATTGAGAACATATGGAAACATATTCAATATTTTAGAAATCAAAATGATACAATTAAAATATTAAATATTAAAATAAGATAAATCTCATGCTTTGGAGACCTGCAGTGCAATTAATCCTATTTTATAAGAAAAATAATTCCTAATTTGATGATATATAAATTTGAATCTATTTTTAATATTTAGGGTAAAACTACAGCAACAGGCCAAAAAAAAACCCGTCAAGACAGCCCTTTTCCTTGTACCATTCTCTCTCTCTCTCTCACACAGGCCACACTTTCTTAAGATTCCTGAAAACAATTCTCTGTAAACTCTCTCCATTTCTCTCTTATTTCTTACACATATCCTTCAGAATCTATGCCTGAAAATTCCCCACGGATTTCGTTTTCTGTAGATTCCTTTTGGTATCTCTGAATTCTCATTTACCGTCACTTCCTCTGCCCATTAATCCCCTTCCTATATATATAGAGAGAGAGATATACATCATATCATATTTTTGTCATCATCAACTTTTCCATCAATGTATCACGAAACTAGGTTTTTCAATTTCAACCCATAGGCATAGATTTTGGGGTTTCAATTGGATGATGTAGATTCTAGGGATTTCGTTCATTTTTTGAAAAAAATATTATTTTTGTGGTGATTTTATTCTGCCACACAAATTTGGGAGTTTTGGATGATTGGAGTGGTATATTTTGGTGGATCTGATGGTTGTTTGGAGATTTAAGCTTTGGATGACAGATTGGAGAAGAATTTGATACTTTTGTTCTGAAATGGTGAATTATTTGGTTGAAATATTCGAATAAGAAAGAGTGTATAAAAGTGTGTTATATTAGAGTTTGGAAGGTAATTTCGATTTTGAGGATTTAATTATGGATCATGTGATTGGTAGCAAGTTTAAGCTTGGGAGGAAGATCGGTAGTGGATCCTTCGGCGAGCTCTATTTGGGTATAATCAATTTTCATTTTAAGTTTTTTACTGTAGTTTTTTGGTTTTGATTTTTCTGGGTAGAATGCATTGTTGTTGATGGTTTGATCGTCACAGGAGTTAATGTACAAAATGGCGAAGAAGTTGCTGTGAAGCTGGTATGTATATTAAAGTTTTCATCTGTGGAATTTGATTTGGGTGTGTCGGATGAATGATATTTATTCGACTGTGGAAAGAATTGTTATCGACTTTTGGAAGATTTTATGTTTTAATGTAATAATATGTGCTTATCTCTAATAAGGATATTATGTGTTTTAGAAGCTCTTTTACCCGGGGCTAAGTGTTTGGTTTACTAAGCCAGTTCACCAGTTTAACTTTGGTTTTCAAAGGATCCTTAAGTGCAGATTGTTGGTTCAGAACGTTTCGTATTGTTTTCTTAGTCAGCTTTTCAAGCATAGTAGAAGTTTTATGTACTTTATCAACATATGGTAAAAAATATCAAAAAAAAAAAAGTATAAGACACATGTTAGAGTATCTCTAATCTTGACTCAAACTTTTACTCAAATTCGAGTAAAAGGTTTGATTTGATGCAAAGCACTCCAATGGAGAAATTCAAAGTTATGATGATGATTGCGCTAACTATGATGAATGTGCTAACTATGGAGATGATGTCGAAAATAGACTGATTTTATATCACCTTTCAATTCGAATTAGCTAAAGCAATGTCTCCTTGCAGAATATGGATTCCAAACATTCATGATTTGGATGTGAATGAGTCGAATAACTTATCCTTCGGTCTATTAGTGAACCATCTCTCCAGGGATTGTGAAAGGAGGACAAACTCAAATTTAAATGAGGACAAATACAAATTTAAAGGAGGATAGAATATGACCATCTAATTTTTAAAGAAAAATAAAATTTAGTCATCAGTGATTTGAGTAATGGTTTGAGTTTCCCTTGATTTGAGTGAAAATTTGAGTCTCCATTGATTTGGTATGAGTTTGGGTATAGCATTGGAGAAGGTTTTTTGAATATTGTACCCAAATTTAGGTTCAAAAAAGAGTAGGGATCAGGGATGCTCTTAACTGTTTTAGTCTAGGTAAAAAGTAGAACAGAAAACTAGATAGTGAAGATAGTCACAGGAATGAGAAAGTTTGAGAAAGTAATCTTCATATTTTACACTTAACCATTGGATTTAAAAGCTAGTAAATAACTTCATTGGTCACCAAATTGGATCATTGTTTCTTGAAACACTCGTGTCCTAAGTTGAAGGACCTATGACATGATTTTGCCAAGTAAATTATCTTGATTGACCGATATGGCCATCAGGGTTGAGAATTTAATGTGATGTTCTTTGCAGTATGCTATCTTAAACCCAATCAGGTACAATTTGTTTCATCACCCTTGTATTCTTCTAACTAGATATCCACCATGATCCAATTATAAGGGGCAGTTAACTTTATATCTATTTTTTTTCCTCATCTCATTTGACTATGCTTTGTATTATGTACATACTTCTTTTGACCCTCAATTTCATCTCTTTTACAGTTTTACCCTAATCAGCATTTGTACCTGTTCTTATTAATGTAATATAAATAGTTTTCTTTTCCCTTCATTATTTTTCTTTAGGATTTATGTGTCATGTTCACTATTTTTGCCTTTTATTTTCAGGAATCAGTTAAGACAAAACACCCTCAGCTTCAATATGAATCAAAATTGTACATGCTTCTTCAGGGAGGAAGTGAGTTTTTTTGCTTGTAGCTTTTCCTGTATATGACATTGGATGTGATTGGTTACATAGTTGAATTAATTTCAGCTTACCCTTGTATTTGTTCATTGAATGAAGCTGGTATCCCCCACTTCAAATGGTTTGGAGTTGAAGGTGAATTCAATGCCATGGTCATTGACCTTCTTGGGCCAAGCCTAGAAGACTTGTTCAATTATTGTAATAGGAAGCTCACATTGAAAACAGTTTTAATGCTTGCAGATCAATTAGTAAGTATGATACTGGTTAGAGAACTTTTTGTCGATTTTTAGCTGCTGTCTTTATGTGTTTCCGGGTGTTTTGTGTAGATTAATAGAGTTGAATATATGCACTCAAGAGGTTTTCTTCACCGTGATATAAAGCCTGACAACTTTTTAATGGGTTTAGGGCGCAAAGCAAATCAGGTATGTTCTCCTATAATTTTTTTTGTGTATGTTGATTCATTCATGTTGTTGTTTTGTGCTAAAATGTATTTGGGCTGTTTACATGGATGTTATTTGAGTCTTCTACCATTTTTTGGTCTTTAAAACAATGGCTTGTGACTTTCTCCCTTCTGAATTTACCTGGAGAATCCCCTTACAAAAAAAAAAAAGAATTTACCTGGAGAATAAAAATACTGTGGATACATTGTGTGGAAGGTGTTGAGTGCCATCATAATTCTTAAATCTCGTGATGCACATGGCACATGTTTCTGCTAAATTTATGAAGAGTCAGTTTTAAATTTTAAGTTTAGTTCCACTGGAGTTGTAGCCACCGTATTTATTGAGGTAGAGGTTGGGATTGGGGGTAATCTTATCCCGAGGCTTTTGATTTTCATTTTTCCCTATTCAAATATTATTTTCCCATTTCCCATTTAAATTCATATAGCTTGTTTAAAGAGGCTTATTATAGCCGGTAAACTTTATATTTCCTGGCATATGAATAATGTATGCGTTTGCCAACCTTAGTTATCAAATTCTCTTGCTATTCCAAAACTGACTAATTGATTTTTGTTATCCTTCAAAAAGTTTTAGCAGGAGTATACATGAGTACAGTATTATTTCTATATTTTTTAAGAGTTTGAAATGATGGACTTTATATGAAAGGCCTTTAATGGATGCAGTGCCCTGTTGAATTTGTTACCCCCATTAGTGCGTGGAGAATGAATACCACAATTTTAACGTCTGTTACCATAATTAAAAACTGTTCTGCACTTCTTACTCTTAACAATTTAATGCGCAGTATATTCTTATATTTTCTCTGTGCAAGTTGCACCTCTACTTCTTTTTGATGGTTTTATTTTGCAACAGGTGTATGTCATTGACTATGGTCTTGCAAAAAAATATAGGGATCTTCAAACACATAAGCACATACCGTACAGGTACTAAATGTGATTCTATGTTTCTAGGGAGTATGACATAATGTTATGGCAGTGCACAAGCATGCTTGAACACACACACAAGTTTGCCTTAAGTTTGTGGCATGAATTGTTCTTTCTATAGCAGATATTCTTGTATGCATGGATTGCCAATTTATCAAGCAATGTTTGTAGTACTGTCCTAGCCTTGCTCTGCCGGTTAGTTGAACTAATGAACCAATACACTGGGAACATGACTGAGTCGAATTGTCATTTGGATTGCCTAAGGAGGGTCTAGGCAAATTTTGAGAAGTCAGCACATCTGAGATGGTTATGCTGAACCCTGCTTGGTGGGCTATTCCTTATTTCTGTTGTTTCAATATGCGGAGGAGTTAACATCTGTACAGAAAGCGAGTGCAAAACCCACACACCTTCATTGGGAAATGTTGATAATGAAGTTGCAAGGATGGTATTAGCTTGTTATCTTTTTTGTATCTTCTAAGCGATTTTCAATAAATGCCCTCTGCCTTGCATAGGGTTAGGATTTAGCTTGTAATTATTTATACATGTTCTATGGAGTACAGATACTCTATCAAGACCAGTGTATCCCTATGTGATACACATTGGATACGGATTTGCCTCGAATACAATCAGATGTGCCTAAAATTAAAATATTTTTAAATTTTAGATACATCTTGGATATGCCGAGAATATGCGATTGATACATTTAGGATACGTACTTGACAAATATGTATAGGATATATCGTGATACTTCGGGGCTAAATACATAATTTCTTCTACATTTTAAAAAAGGTTATTGGGATAAATTTTTTAGGTAAGCAAAATAAATGTTTTCTAGAACAAAAATATGGAAGTTTGTCTAGGAAAAATATAATTTTGACCGCAAAATAGCCAACCTATTTGGTATGTTATTTGCTGAAAGGCCTTCTTGTTGCATATTATTATTCCCACATTGAAGATTTTATCCATCTAGAAGGGGAAACAAGAGACAGATTTGAATATTTCATAACAATTTGTTATATATTTTATATTTTGGATGAGTAATACCTTAATACTGAAATTTACTTTGTTTTTGGTCAATTGAAATCTGTAGATTTGTTTAATATATCCGAAAGTATCTATTGTATCGCAATACAATATGACTTTGTGCAATAATGGGAGTTTTTTTCGACTATATATCTGTGAATCATTGATATTTGATCTTATCATATACTAAACTATATAAATATATGAAAAAATATTTATTTATTCACGTATATTGCAGTATTTGTATGCTTTTTTTTAGATTTTGTCATATGGTCGTGTCCCTATCATTTCGTACCCTCATCCGGTAATGGTTTCCATGCTTCCTAGTGCATCTTCTATTTGATTTTCAGTAGTTTACTTTCTACATTGACTTAGACAGTTAAAAATAAAATTTTTGAAGGGTTATTTATACATGTTACAATTGAGGTAAAGCATGTGCACACCTGATGCCTTGGGATTCTAGAAAATACAAAAAGCCTTTTTGAGTTTGAGGTTAACGGACGATCAACACTGCTCCTTCAGTTGGTTCTAGCTGACCAACAACATTTTTCTCAAAAGTATTCATTGCCCTAACTAAAACAAACAAATGAAAAATTAGTGAAAATAAAAGGGAAAATTTTGAAAGCAACAATTTCCAAACTAAAACAGAACCCCCTCTTTGTATAACCAGAAATGAAAACCCAAAGTTGCACCACCCAGCGAATCACCCATAGCTTCCACGGTTCCATCCCTAATCTGAACACAATCCTCTTCACTATAATACCCTTTGTTCCCCCAATCCCTTCCTCCCTATGCCATAGGTCCCGCTCCAACCCTCCTCAATATAACCCCCTTGTGCCCCACCCATGACAAACCACCTGCTAACAGAACCCCTCTCGCTGCCCTCTTCCACCCAATGAACCACACTGACCCACCACTATAACAAAATCCCTCTGCGCGATCCCCCTCTTTGTTGAGGACCCAGTGCTCACTGCGATCATAATGGCTGGGTGTATCTGTATTTGAGTGCAAATGGAGGTGGGGGATGGGTTGGAGGAGAAAGGGGGGGGGGGGGGTTATGTGATGGTGGGGAGGGGAGGAGGAGAATGTGGAGTGTCTGTGGGTGTACATGGGACGGAGGGATGCACTACCAATTCTCCCCCTCCTCTTCTCTCTCTCGTATTTGAGTTTTGAATTTGACCATATTTTTCAAAAAGGCAAAGGGTAATAGGGTAATCTGACATATGCCAATTGTCATGCCACCCGGCAAAAACATAAATGATGCAGATTGTAATTTCTGAAGACTTAGGGGTTGAGTGTTTTTATGCTTTATCTCAAGGGTAAATTTTTTTGATTTATCTTTTTCATTTTTAGATGTACATTCAGTTCTCCGTCACATATCAAGTCACTACAATAATACAATTAACTTCCATGTTTACTTGCCATCATGAGGTAAAATTTCAGTGATGAATTAATCTAATGCATGGTTGCATGTACTGCTACATTAATGTGTTCCTGTCAATTAAGAAAAGTAAGTTTTTAAACAAATTACAATGTGAATCAAACAGATGGCTTATTGCACATCATTGAGATTTTTGGACTGACTATCATATTCTGTAACAGCACAGCCTAATTTTATAATGCACCTGTCTGGGAATTTTAATGACGTTTTCTTTTCTTACAGGGAGAACAAAAATCTCACCGGCACAGCTCGTTACGCAAGCGTTAACACCCACCTTGGTGTTGGTGAGCAAACTCAATGCATTGCAAGCAATAACTGAAGAGGATTTTTATTCTTTCTATCACCTCTTATATATTTATTGGATACATTCTCTGGATTTTTCAATTTGGCATTATTACATGCAGAGCAAAGCAGACGGGATGATCTGGAATCTCTTGGTTACGTCCTTGTGTACTTTCTGAGGGGAAGGTTGAGCATATGGTTCAGGGCTCTTTACATATTCTTCCTTTCAGCACTTTTTGATTTCTGACATAATTTATATTATTTGTTTGTCTTAGCCTTCCCTGGCAGGGTTTAAAAGCCGGCACTAAAAAGCAAAAATACGACAAAATCAGTGAAAAGAAGATGCTTACTCCCATAGAGGTACACCTGATCTTCCAAGTTTTTTTGTTCACGTAGTTATTCCGTATGATTGAATTTCTGTGACAACTTGTTGGATCAGTATGATGCCTTTACCCTGACTCCTTTGTTTTTATAGAGATTGAAATATAGCATACCATAGCTAACTTGATATAACTGAAATTGTGAACTTTTGTTCACAGGTGCTTTGCAAATCTTATCCATCGGAATTTATATCATACTTCCACTATTGTCGATCATTGCGGTTTGATGACAAACCAGATTATTCATACCTGAAGAGGCTTTTCCGGGACCTGTTTATTCGAGAAGGTGAAATATACTCTTGAATATCTGTTTATTTGTCAATGTTCCTTTTTCTTCTTCCCTTCCTTTTTTTGTATGTATTGTATAAAATAACCTTAAGCTGATCTCATCTTCAATAACGAGTGTGTCTTATGCTTATATTATTACCTTGTGCTTAAGTATAATTATTGGTGTAGGTTATCAATTTGATTATGTATTTGACTGGACTATATTGAAGTATCCTCAGATTGGTTTCAGTTCGAGAGGAAGGGTCAGTAGTTTTTCTTCACTTACCGTGAGTATGTCTCTATTGTCTTTAATAAATGTTGCGTCTTATATTTGTTTTCTTCTTTCAGCAGCCGACTGGAAAATTAGCTTTGAACCCAGGACCATCTGTGGAAAGAAGAGCCAAAACCCCAGGTCTGTTTCTTTTCCCAGCTAGGTTTGCAACTAATTGCAAAGTTTGTTCTTTAAATAAGTTTATTTCTTATGTAGAAGTTCAAAATGTTACAATGTTTTTGGGCTTCTGAGCACTTGCTTTGGCTTCTTGCCTAGAATCTAGGTTTAACTTCCCATGCGCTTGAGTATAATTGATGTGTAAGACCTGCTCAACTGTAAATGTGTAATTATTATGTAAGATAAATTGTGGTGATCCCATACATGGTCTTTAATCAGAATGTTGTACGGGACTTCTTTTTTGTTAATGTTATCACCTTTGTTTTTTTTGTTCTTTCTTTTGTTCTTTGCTTTTTTTTTTTCTTGGACAGGGGTTGTAAAATACTCTGTTTCTTTTTGATTTTTTTAAAAATTAATTAGAGTCAGGAGATTAATTATCTGATGTGCAATATTGTCTCTCCTTTAGTGAGACAAGAGAATCGAGACAGATTCTCTGGTGCAGTCGAGGCATTTGCCAAAAGAAATGGTTCTGGTGCTGGCTTGAATGCGGATAACTCAAGGCACAGGTCTTCAGAGGACATACCATCGTCAAAGGAAGTGGTTAGTAGCAATGATGACAACTTCATGTTTCCTTGTGCTTCCAATTCTTATTCTCTGCTATTTCATTTATACATGTAATTCTGATTTTAAATTCTCAGCAAGTTGATTCTGAAAGAGGACGCATCTCTCGGCCTGTCAGTACTTCAAAGAGAGCTCTCGTGTCAAGCAGCCGGCCAAGCTCCTCTGGTGAACCTAGTGAAAATAGACCCAGCAGGCTGGGCTCCAGCAGTGGTCGTCTGTCCACTACCCAAAGGATCCAACCTGGGATCGAATCCAAATCATCATCTTTCAGTCGTGCTGCAGCCACAAGAGGCAGCCGTGATGAGACTCTTCGGAGCTTTGAGCTGCTAACCATTGGCACTGGGAGAAGGAAATAAGCGGTCTTCTTAGGTCAGGACAATGTCTTATCCTTGGCTTTTATCAAGGTCGTAGTACCCTTGCACTCTTAGCCCGGATACTAAATATACGCCAATAGTTGTTGAATTTCATTCACAGCCAAACCTCAGCGTAAATTTGTCCTTACTTGCTCGTTGCTGATTCTTCCTCAAGGAAGAGATCAAACATCTCATTTTAGGGAAAATTGTTTGCATTTCAGACCATGTTATTGTAATCGAATACTTTGTGTTGTACTAATAGAAACTTGGCTTCGAAACAAGCGAGTGATTTTTCTCTGTGCAATGATATTTGTCGATGTGTAATCTGTTCTGTGTTGCTTTTCGGAAAATTTTCAGTGATTGTAAGTGGCTGGTACATTTGACCCTCTCCAAACTTCCTAGTCGTGGAAGCTGTGCACAGAATCGTCTTTTTTTATTATAAGTTGAGGGTGTAAGCAGATGACAAACATTCAGACTTTGTTTGATAATAAGGTATAGAAGGTGGTGGTGCCAATCCAATTTTCAAACCAAAGGCAGGTTAGCTGGCCTGATGCAATGTTCATTGTAGTTCATGGTCATTGGGCTAGTGTAACCTTACCAGCAAAAGGGCAAAAAAGAGCATCTAGAGACCACTCCGATAGGCTATCGTTAGTAAGATCATGTGGTTTTTGACCGTGTCTGTTATACCTCTCGAGAATGAATTTAAATTAGGTTAGCATAGCGGTTAACCACCGAGAATGTGAAGGACTGTTTGGCAATTGGTTTGGTCAAATAAAAGATGGAAAAAGGTTCTCTTTAAGAGGTTTTCTAAGGCTTCTGATGTTCGTTATTAACTCCTGCTTCATTTCTATTAACCACTAGAAGGTGTAGAACACGGTTACCCGTGATTGCAAAGGAGGGAGATTGCAAACATAAATCTATACTACAAATTAAAGTTAGATGTGGATTGTAACATGGCATCCTTCGGCCTCTTGGGCGTCCTTCCTAGCTAGGAGGTCCGCACTCTTGTTGGTTTGTCTCATCTCCTGCTTCATCCAAGTCTCCTGGAACTTCCCCAACAGCCACCTACAGTCATTGATGATAGGACTATAAGTGTGGTAGTGTGTATTTCGATGTTGCATCTGCTCAATAACCAACTGCGCATCAACAGTGATTTTGAGCTTTGTGTACCATGTTGGGCTGCTAGGCTTAGCCCTTTTCTCAAGGCCCACAATTCTACTGCTAGACTCGTAGTAGTCCCAGTTTTCTCATAAAACCCCACCACCAGTCTGCCTGTGATAACTCCCTTGGGCCGCACCATCCGTGTTCAACTTGGCCCACCTAACTGGCGGGGGCTTCCAGCCCAGTATCTCAAGAGCCTGGTGATTTTTATATGAAGATGATAGAATTCAGATGCACAACTTATGGCTTGTTGGCTAAGTTTCTTCGCAAGGGTGGAAACATTGCAAAAGACCTGCTAGTTTCGATGGTACCATATACTGGCACATGTATAAGAAAAGGATTGTTCACAGTAGGTGGTGTGTATTGGTCAAGTTGTTCATCCAAAGGCTTACTATTTAGTCTGGTGTCTTCCAAATCCAATTATCCTGTCAGTCTAAATGCATTTGGATGGGTGTGACTTTAATGTTCTCCATTATTTCTTGTAGAATGGGTAAGGGATCTTATCAAAGTCCCAAGATCCATCATGTCTCAGTTTGAGTCTTACGTTCTGGTTTTCCTCTCCCATTGGAAAAGGTCCTTGTATTGTTTTCCCAAGACTCCCCTGCCCCAAACAGTTATCAAACCAGAAACTAGTTGTTAGTCCATTATGAACACTCCATTTGATTCCATCATATAACAAGATTCTCCCATCCTTCATGCTAGCCCAAACATACGACTTAGTCTTCCTCTTTTCATTGCTTTCCTCGCTAATTTTTTGCCTCTAAAGTCCTAGACCCCACTTTATCCCTATCTTTGAGCACTCTCCAGTTGAGTTTGGCATGGCTACTGGATTTTCAGTCCCACCTGTTTGAGCTCCAATCCCTTCGATTTTTTGGGTTTGGTCACCTGGCTCAGTTAATGAGATGAATTCTCCTCTTCTAAATAGTTGACCCCCATAGGAAATTTCTGTTGATTTTGTCAAGTTCCTCACACACAGACTTTGGAATTTTCATGTTCAGCATATAGTATTGTGGGATGGCTGAGGTAACTGAGGATATCAAGGTGGCTCTCCCTTGTGAGGATAGAAGTTTGGCATCCCCCCGGCGGCGGGAGGGGGGATCTGGTTGTGGGTTTTTTGTGCAGCAAGGGGACACCCAGGAACTTCCCCACATTGTTAGTGGCATTAATCCCTAAGATTTCAATCCATCTTTGGGTGTCCTCTGATGCACAATTCTAAGAGAAGTAAACTTCAGATTTTTGGGCACTTATCTTTTGTCCTGAGGCTTGACAGATGGACTCTAAGGTCTGTTGGATGCATTGACAATTTTCATCAGTGTTGCTTCACCAAATAATAGCAGGTCATCTGCAAAGATGATGTGTGGTATATTGACTCCCCTACCAACTCGAACCAGTTTCCATAGTCGCATGTCCACGTCTTCCTTTCTTTTGTGCCTTTTATTTTGAGTAATGATATTTATCTCAAATTTGCATCCCAAATCAAGCAGAATCAGTGGGTCCTATTTAAAAAAATTGATGGGACCTACTGATTCTCCTTGATTTGAATTATAAATTTGAGATACATAGCACTACTCGACATATAATGTTATAGGATGTTGAGTGCAGAGGGAGTTGTGAGTAGGTTGCAGAAAAAATTAGGAAAGATATAATGAAATGATTCTCCATGTAATGAAATGATCTCTTGATAAACGAGATACTAATATAACAATATTACTTTTTTTTTAAAAATTGTTACACATATTCCAATAAAATAATCAGAGAATTCTAGAGGAAAAAATGTAATAATATTAATTCAAGAGCTCTTGGTAGTTGATAGTGAGAAGTTAATAAAAAATACTAATTTTTTTTATTATACCTAATAAAGTAATAATAGAACCCTAACTTACTTAGAAAAGACACCTTCTAACAAATAAAGAGCTTAAACGTTGAAAGTCTAGAGGAACTTGAAAAGATTTCACTGATTCTTTTTTTTGTTATTCGAGTATAAAATTACTAATGTAAGGTAAAATGAATGTAATGGTTTTAGTGTTCTAGTTCTTGCTTAACAATAAAGTTTAAAATTTTTAATAATATTTTAGATGCGGGGAGATTATACTATTTATTGAATTGCGCGGTACATTTTTTAACATAAACTATGATATGTTTTTGATTTAGTGGCTGTTTGTAGGTGTTTTTATTTATTTATTTACGTGTTTGTTTATGATATATGTTTGATTAGTGTTTGTCTTAGTTATTTTTTTTTTTTTAATTTTTGTTTGATGTATTTTAGATGCTATAAATTAGGATGTTCAAACATAATATAATTCATGTTATTAGTATGAATTTTTGTGTAGAGATTGGTCCCCCAATGATGAAATCTTGATTACGTCTTTGCATTTAGGGGTAATCATGTCTACAGGTACGGTGTAATGTGAATGATTGTAAGAGGGATGTTGTTAGCCATTGAATGAGTTTATCTGATTCCGTCGAATAGAACCTATTGAAGTCTATCCTATTTTATATTATAGATAACCACTTCACATATGAACAAAATGGATCCCACTTTTTTACATGAGAACGTTGAAATCGTAATGAATCCTATTTAATCAATAACGATATGTGTACCACTTTATCTCCATTGATATTATCTTAACTTTTAAATATTTAATGAATTTAACGGGTCCATTAATTTTATATTGAGTATATTAAATTATTAACGTTGTCCACCCTCAAAGTTTTTATATATACATTGTTTGTATAAATTTAAAATATTTTATTGAGTTTATTAAATTATTCCATCCTATTATTTTTTATCATATCAATTAGGATAGATTCATTATCAAATGATTAATAATTTTCGATCATACCTTAGACACATTATAGACATGTCTGCAGGGCCGGCCCAACTATAGAAGCAAAAAACCTTGGGCTTTAAGCCCTATAATTTTAGGAAGACTCCATAATATTAGGTAAATATTTAGCCCATTTTAGAATTTTAAGTCCATAAAAATTAAAAGCTCTACAAAAAAGCCTTAGTTAAAATTTAAGGTCAATCAAAAATTTTAATTTTAATAATTTTATGAACTCATGATTCATCCCATAATAATAAAAACCTAAAACATCAAAATTTTATTAAAAAAAACTAATGGTATACTCAAAAGTCAAGTCATAATTCATCTATCAATTATTAACCACATCTCCTCTCTCTCTCTCTAAAGCCCCTCCCTCTCATTTTTATTCTCACTCTTGGTATCAATTTCAAAAAAAGAATTTTTTTTTGATTGTTTATTTGACTAAAAAAATAAAATTATTAAATGCTGATAGTTTAAAAAAATTTATCTTGATTTCGGATGCTTCTTAATACATAACAATTTTTTGACATTGATAGTTTAGATTTATTTTAAAAATAAAATATTTTAAAGCAGATTTTATAAATAAAAGAAAATACTCCAATTGAGACACCGATTTATATAAAAACATTAGATTTTTTTTCTTCAAATATATGCATTTCGTATAGAATATTATTATTAATTTTTGTAATAGTTATTTCTACAAAAAAAAAAAACTTTTGAAAATTAAAATCAATAAAATTTTATTTAAAATTGACTATCACAAAAAAAAAAAAAATTAGATTAGTGATATTATCAATGAAAAAAAAATATGATAACAAAATTTAAATATAAAAACTCAATTTATACTTTTACAACTCAAAAAATGAAAATAATTAATTTTAATTAAAATTTTTAATACTAAAAATAAAAAGGCCTGAAAATAAATTACCGTTTTAAACCTCAAATTATCCTGAGCCGTCCAGCATGTTTGGATGAACTTTGAACAAAGAGTTCAACGACTATGGAATCGTGCTACTCTCTAGTGAGATGTGACTTTTCTTTATTTGAGATTTGAATGAAACAACACTATAATACTAGGTAATTCTTACTAGTTTTTTATTAGTGTACCTGTCATATTATTGATGCGTCCATTGACTTTTCGATTGGTGATCTTGCTAAAAAATAGTTAGTATTGGCAAATACATGTTAAAATGTGTAATTTACATTATCAATGATGTTGGCATTGGTTCACTTACCCCAAAAAAAAAAGACATTGGCATTGATTTTATCCGTTGTAATTGTCACTCTTATCATCGTCTAAAAACTTTCTATAATATTTTACCCAAATTCGGATTAAATGCT